CTAAGATCTATTTCCACATTTCGCTTATTCAAATCGTCACTTTTTTCTTTTCTTAAAACTACATGCTCTTGTTATTAAGAATACCAATGGTATTACATATAAATGGTTTATGTAGAAAATATATATTAGTATGTATAGGAACATGACTCTTTTTGTCTTCATTCTCTTTATCTTGATTTTCTTTGAACATTCCTATGTGAGATGTGACGTTATCCTGCATGTTACATTTTGTCATAAGGCATATTGATAAATGACGTATTGGTTGTTTAATGCACTCGGCTGATTATTTGTCAATATACTTTAATATATGTGCTATGTTAATTGTGGGGGTCAGGGCAGGTGAGCGAGTTTTTGTTTGTATAAATATATGTGTTTGTATTGTGTTTGTATATGTGTGGTTAATTTTGTGTCTATGTATGTATGCTGCAGGAGCCCCTTGAAAATAAGATGATACATCTCAAGGGGTTATCCTGAAAATTCAAATTCAGACATACTACGCAATGCATCAACAGTGCCACGAACATTTTGCTAGGTGAGGTAACATAGCATAGAGGGAGCTAAAAACAACGCCAACAAGTTCTACAGCTGCTTACAATATCTGCAAAGCCAATCTTTCGAGGAGTAGCACTGAAAAATAGGACACAATCAACCTATTCAAGCACCTCCAGAAGCATAGTTAGTAAGCAATGTTTAAGTCAGGCCTGATGTTGCTGGTTGCTTCAATAAAACTTTAAAACATTCTTTTATGTCACATTTTCATTATAAAGCTGACTTATAACTGCAGTTTTGGCAACTAAAAGATGAGGCCTGGTTGTCAGCCTAACAACCGCTTTTAAAAGTTAGTGTTGAGTCGTGTTTCTACTGGTAACCCAGCGGGAGGCTTTAACGGTGAAGCATCTAAAAGAAACAACAAAGACAAACTTTTTTTGTGTTGCTATTCTTCAACAAAACAGGTGTACATAATAAGATATGGACATAATGGGAATTGCAGAGGGGCAAAGTACAAACAAAAAAGTCATAAGGAGCTGTTAGATGAAGAGCTAAAGAAACTGCTTCTGTGTTTTCTGCAAACCACACAACAACTTCTAAAACAACGTAAACAATAAACAGCATGATGTCCATGTAAATGCACTCAAACAGAGGATTTTGAACATCTCATATTTTATCATGTTTGGTTGAATCTTCAGCAATGAGCTCAATGTTGTTTACATATAAATAAATATTATTAAAAAGTTATTTGTGAATTTTTTTTTTTTTAAAGAATTTGACACTATAACAAAGACGAGGGTAGCCAATTAATCTGCTGTACACCCTCCACTGTGCCTTGCATGGCCCCTCTGCCTCCACGAGATTGCCAGCATGACAAAGTCCTTTCCATTTGTTATTGGAAAGTAAAATCAATTCTGATTCACCTTCACAAGCTGAACATGTCCCATACACACATAGTCCTAAAAATAAACCTCGACGACACCATTTCTATGTCTGACAGAATATCGGGCTGGGACAAATGGGCATTCAGAGGCAGACAGGACGCTGGCAGGGTTCATAAAGAGGCTACAGCGTTAGACTAAGAAGGGGTAGACATAAAGTTTGCATCAAGTTTGCGTCAAGCCACTGACGTAATACACCTTACAGCTCCACAGGGGATTGTGAAGCATAAAAGGGAGAGAAAGGTTTCATTGTACGTAAGGTAGGTCACCTTACATCCAGCTTTGAGGCAATTTATCTGTTTAATGTTTAATCCTCTGGGGCCAGATGCCTAAAAATCAATTCAAGACTAAACTTGGATGGATATGGATACGCATTACTTTTGTTTGATTTCAAACAGTGATTTTCCAATTGCAACTTTTGACTTAGTTACAACCTACAACATCAGTTGACGTTTGTGAGGCATCAGGATAAAAAACAAGTGTCAATAATGGTCAAAGCCTGTGCTGCAATCATTTATCTTATCAGGTCGAGGTTCATGTTTGTTTGCTATCAACATGCAGGTGTCATGTTCTATGTTCACTGTGAGTGCGAGAAACAACTTATCACAACATCTGTTTACTGAATTAGTGTCATTTTTTAAAGTTTCTTAAAGGGAACCAATCAAAACTATGTAAAATCTTTGTAAATCTAATCACACTGATTCACTCTCTCTGCTTTAATTTCATTCTGCAGGTCTGACAGCTCAACAAAGGAAACATGATACACAGTGCGACACTTCTGATCTTAATTCATTTTACTACAAGTAACATTACTGACAAATATAACACTCCATTTCTAATGAACAATTAAGTGAGAGACGCTTGTCCTCTCATACTAGCTCTGACCTGGCTTGGACTGTCCAACACTGACTATTATCATGATTCTACTTGGCAGGTGCAGGAGACGTACACACAATCATGCTGCACACAGAGATGGATACAAAAACAGCTGTGCGCAATTGTAAATACACACACACACACACACACTTATTTGCCCAACAGGGAAATAAACACACCATTTTGACCGATAGGCCTCCCTCTCTCCTACTGTGTTCATACAGAGACAACTCTGCGAGTGTGAGTGTGTGTGTACATGTCTCCAAGAGCAAGACCTCTGATTTCCCACAGTGCAGAACATCATTGACAGCCCACTTGTAAGCCTCTCGCTGCACATTTCTCTCACCAGGCTTAACTGTTCACATACCAACTCGCTCGATATCCTAACTGCAAAAAATACTGTCCAAAAGCGTAAATCAGTCAAAACAATTACAGGCCAAGTGCTGAATGTGGTGGTCACCCATGAACAACTGAAACGAAAATGTACAAAGCTGCAGAATAATAAAACATTTTTGTGGCAACCAGCCCAAGCAGCCCTCAAACCTCCTGTCCTTGAAATTCACTTTGCCCGTATGTGTTGTATTTTAGTGCTCGGTGCAGAATGCATGGTGCACGTCTTGGACTTTGCGTTGAGAACAGACGTCTGTTTCTGGTGCAACGTCAATCTGCTGCCAACCTGATGATTATGTCAACAAGAGCAAACTAAATACTTGACATCAGTCTGATTCTAACAGAATCTGTTGCTTTGTACTGTGACAACTTCAGTCAGCCTTTTCGTGCTTTGCGCTGCTGCACATATATGAACCAAATTAGCAGGTGTGCTTGGTGGCGCCTACACAGTCCATGCGCCCAAGATCTACCACTTTGTGCTGGTCGTTGCGCCTGCCGTAATTAAATAGACTCTCTGTATGCCATCAGATTATGTTTTCAATGGAGGACGCCCCACAGACTCAGGACTCTGTTAAACAATTGACCTTCACTGAGTTAAAAATTTGACAACACAACTGAATGCTAATGCTGAATGCTATTATTACTATTATCTTACTACTGAATATTTATGGTACAACGTGCAGAAAAATAAATTAAAAGTACACAAAACAAGCTGGTTCTGTATCCATTGCCTTTCATACCCCAATCTTGTTCAGAAAACGATGGCTTTTGAAAACATGGCTTTCAAATAATTTTGCAATTACTGCCATCTTAAGAGACGCATTTAACCCCATGCCAGAGTTCCATTCAAAGACACATTCTTCCTGCGTGAAACACAAAATGCTCTCTTTAGTCGTAGCTCTCTGAGCCCAGTAATGTGAAAGGACACATTCTTCTTACAAGTGTACAAATGAGGCGCTATGGCCTGAAAACGCTCTGAGCAATGAAAAATGTTACACAGTTGATTTAGCACGACTTTCTGATAGGAATGCCCATTTCATCCAGCTTCTATTACCTCTTTTAAATCAATACCAGAGTCACATTTAATGATGCCTTCTTATTCAACATTTCCCTGAAGCATGACACTTTAGTGCGCACTGCGGTGTAATTCCACTGATGTCCTAACAGCAGCGAGGTGTTACATTTTCATTTGGGTACAATTCTACAATAGGTGCGGAGTTTGTGAGGGTTATTAATGACTACGTAGCATTTGCCATCATTATAACAGTGCTGCTCTGTAGCCATGAGGCAATGAAAGAATCGGGTTGGTAGCACTGCAGTGGATCAAACGACAGCTTTATGAGAGCTGACATACACTGTGGCCATTCATGAGGGAAAGCTTTGAGGTTCCCCTGTCAAAGTGTTGCACGGGTAGCCTCCAGCTGAATAAAATGAATTGGCACTGTAATAAAGACGAGGGTAGCCAATGATTTGCTGCCGCATTCTGGCTGTTTAAAGACTGATGTCCTCTCGGAGCACAGTGTGTAGCATCGGTGCATTTGATTTGTCTCTTTAATGGATTGAAATTTTGAAAACTGGCACTGTGGATGGCCAACAGACCCATCCTAAGCACCACCGTTTCCCTTAATGCACCAATCACTGCGAAGCACAAACTAGGAAGACTTCAGTCATCTTTCCGCTCTGGTGTCTAGGCTGCCAAGCGCCTAAACCACCAAGACACTTTTAGTATGAAGTTAGTGTTAAGAAACAGTTTGGGAAATATGTTCATTCCATTCTTGCCAAAAGTTAGACAAGAAGATTGATACACTCTAACATGTGTATGGTAAATATAAAGCTACGCTACTGCAGTTTTTAGTTACAGGGTGGTGGTTGTGCAGTGGAGAAGACTGGTGAGAGAGACCTGGGATCAACTCCCCACTGTCACACATCCACCAATGTGTCCCTCAGCAAGACACTTTACCCCTAGTTGCTCCAGAGGCGTGTGACCTCTGACATACTTAGCAATTGGAAGTCGGTTTGGATAAAAGCATCAGCTAAATGAAATGAAGTAATGTACTCAAACAGGAGGAAATAGTGTATAATAGAGTCGGATTAATACATTTCTGGTGCGCTAACCAGTGTTTACAACAATAGGATGATGTATGTGAGGTTGCACAAGTCTGCGTGAGTTTATTCCCTCAACAACTCTGCATGCACTAGACTGATAGGGCCCCAGGAGAACGAGCCCCTACAAACCACAGCTCGGCACAGGGGGCATCCTTAACCTTCTGAATTACTCCAGACGCAGATGAGCAGATAAATTACCCTGTCCTTCATCCTCCAGCTCTGCGCTAAGGCCTTGGAGCCCTCAATCTTCTCAGAGTGTCGTTTCTTCATGAAGGCCAATGGAAGTTTCCAGTCATTCATGTCGGCCTCCTCTTCCTCTGCGAGGCCCACGGCCGGTGAGTGGAGCAAGTCTGAGTCCATTTTCATCAGGGCCCTACAGGGGAGAGCTCTAGTTAGTAACAGAAATTTGATGAGTTAACCAACAACATGGTCATTTTAGTTGTGGCTGGTACTCTCCTCTCACAACAATAACAAATATTTGGCTGATTAGTCACTTGGTAAATAACTTGAAACTGGAAAGAACCTGAGCTAAATCAAAACATTGCCAATATTAGACTATTTTATGTGGTCAAAGTTTAGTAGAAAAATTTCATATCCTCAAAGTAAGATATTTTTTTCTTAAATATTAAAACAATACAACAAAACTTAAACAACACGCGATCTAACTTCCACCTAAAAGGGCTTTTTGTGCAGTTGTGATGTTTCAAACAAACAGCTCTTCTTCCCAGGAAAGTGAAGCATGCAGATTTCTGTTTCTCTACTAATGTAGTGCGTTTACTTAGTGGCTGTAAAAACAAAAGGCACCGATGGGAAGTGGGTTCTGAATTCAGTAAATGTTTTGACTCCATAGCAGCTGAGTTTTCTAGTTTAGTTCATGGGATGATGGTTATGAGTCATGCTGTGACACTCCTGCGTGAATGAAAACCACAACAACAACTGAAACTAGACACACTCACATCTGGATTCCTTCAGGTCAACCCTGAACTTTTACCTCACTACAACTTTAAAGCAGACTACCTGCCTCTTCAGTGTTTATTACAATCACACTTTCACAGAGGGCAGCACCTAGATGATGTCATGATGGGAGTTGAACGTGAACACTCCTCGAGCAACAATAACTGGGTTATGTGCGCCTGAAATTCTCGCAATACTGTCTTAAAGCTGCACTTCACACCCGGTGCGCTTTGACTGCGAGCAGCTGGCTGCACAGTTAGCAGATACACCGGTCAGCTAACTTAGCTAAGTGCTAGCTAAACTAGCGCGGCTAATCTGACAGCTCTTCCTGAGGTTGGCTCTGGCTATCGATGCCAGCGGTCACACTGCATGAGAGGCAGGTGCTATTTGAAGCAAGCTGCTTGCGAAACATCCCGCACAGAGTCAAGTGCGACAGAGCAGATGTGCAGAAATGGCGCTAGTTGTGACAGAGAAGCGTGCAGATGCGTGCAGACCTTGGTGCGGTGGGATTATCAACCCGGGCTGAGGAACCTCTCCGTCTCCGGACGATGACCGACACGGTCGCACAAATAATCCTGGTCAGAAAATTGTAGGGCAGCGTCCACAGCCGGTATAGTATGTCAAACCCGTCAAATCCAAGCTGGACTGGTGCGTGTTTGCAGGGGAATCTGCGGCTCCTCTCCCCACGGCTCTTCGCTATGGGAAGGGGCTGGAGACGAGGCCCATCTTCACACGGACAGTCTGCCACAGCCACACGAAGCACCGGCCGCACGTATCGATGACTGGGGTCGTGTGGTCTCCTTCCACAAACCAGCGACCCTGGTAGCTGATTTGGTGCGACGGTTTTCGCGGAAATCCCACACAATCCCGAGAATTTCTCCGGAGAGGCACTTCTTCAGCACTTCTACAAGGGCGCAGCCATCTTGGGTTGGACCCAGAATGCACTGTTGGGGCGGCGAGGCTGTCATCAAACGTCACCGCGGTAGTTCCTGTCGCTCACCAAACTCCGCTACTCTTCATAAAACTAGAGACATGTATTTTTAAAAGTCTGCATATCATATACCTACTGACATTTTCCCCTATTCACTAATATGGTTGTCAAATGTTTTTTATTTCTGAAAATGGACCAGAGTTACCAGCTCTGCCTCACCAGCTTGTAACTCCTTATAAAATCTTGTTAAATTGAAAAAGACTAGTCTCTCTTTGCAATTGGTTTGACTGATTCCACTATGTGTCATTGTTTGTCATTTAAGCTGTGTGAATTATTGTGAGTTAAGTTGTTCTTGTTTTTGATGATATCTGTATTCTTGCAGCTTTTATATCATGACTTGCTGCTGCCTGTATTGGTCAGGACGCTCTTGGAAAAGAGATTTTCAATCTCAGTGAGCCTTTCCTGGTTCAATAAAGATTTAATTAAAAGAAAACTCATGTCTTAAATCAGTAGGCTACATAAAAATAGTAGTAGGCCAATCCACACAATTAAATGTTATAGCTGCATTTTTTAATGTATTGTGTTGTGCGTGTGTGTGTGTATGTATTGACATTTGGCGTATTATTAGGCCTATATTTATTTAGTCGACAATAAGGGAGTAAAACACATTAAACCTGGTATGAAAACCGCTTGATCCAGGTTCATTTTGTTAGCCACACTTAGGACAAGCTTTTCACAATAAGCCTTCATTTCCTGAGTCTACAACACTCCTCTGAAAAGCTCCAAGCTAATATTACCATCTGTTCATAGTGTACTGTGTTTGTAACCTTCAACACAAGGGCGTCACTTTGTGTTGAAAAGTGGTGGGGACATCAGATTAGGGGCGAGATGATACATTTGGGTCATGAGACGTGACGATGTATGAGAACAAGACAAGAAGATTTTTAGCACTATTTATTAGTGTTGTAGTACTTGAGACCGGTCTTGGTCTTAAGACCATTTTTTTGATGGTCTTGTTCTCGCCTCGGTCTCGACTGCATTTGTACTCAGTCTTGTCTCGGTCTCGGACATTGAGGACTCTGGATTTTATTTCAAGACCATAATTGATAATGATTTGTTAACATCCTAACTTTGATTGGAAGTAAAACAAATTGCTTTAAATGCAACCAATAACCCTAATTAACGACTGTCACCTCTCCCTGCGATGCTCACGTTGATTTCAGCTCTTAGTGTTTGTATGTGGGTGTTTTAATGGGAATGTGGATCTTTCAGATCAATTTGAGAACTACCTATGATCTTGTTCCACATTTTATTGCGTACCATGCAATGCAGGGAACTCCGTTCAGAACGCAGCAGCACTTCTGGTTTTTGATGAGCCCAAAAGGACTCATGTCACTCCATTACTCAGTGACCTCCACTGGCTCCCCGTGGCCTCCAAGTCACTGATGGTTGTATACAGAGTGACTACTGGGTCTGCACCCATCTACCTAAACTCCATAATACAAACTTACGTTCCTTCTCGGCCACTACGCTCCTCCAACGAACGCCGCCTGGCTCTGCCATCCCTTCACACAAAGCAATCCCAGTCCCGGCTATTCGCATCTGTGACACCACACCCAGCAGGGGCGTCCCTCTCTAACTTCAAGAAGCTCTTGAAAACTCATCTCTTCCGAGAACACTTCCTCTTATAACACCTCTAACTCCTAACATCTAACATGCACTTCCTGTGCTCTTCTTCTTCTATCCCCTACAATGATCTTGTATTGATTGCACTTTTTGTTAACTCTTACTTCCTTCCCAAGGTATCTACCCCATTGATGTGATATTTACTGTGAGCTCTTACTAGTATTTATTGCTGCTCTTACTAGTATGTATTGTCAGTTGTAGATCTGTAGTTGATGCTCTGTTGATGCTTGTATGTTGTTCCTCAAATGTAAGTTGCTTTGGAAAAAAGCGTCTGCCATATGAATAAATGTAAATGTAAATGTAACTGGTCTTGGTCTTGACCCGGTCTCGCCCTCCCTCAGACTTGGTCTCGACTGCTCTCAGGCCCTAAAAGTCTTGGTCTTGTCTCGTTTCTCGATAAACTCCGGTCTTGGTCTTGACTTGATCTCGGTTTGGGCGGTCTTGACTACAACATTTAGATTAAATATTTGCTGCTGAAATATATGTGAGGGGGGTCTGAAGATTTAACTGGTAGTTCCTGCATTCTGAAGACATTTTCTGCTCCAGTTTACGGTGGAAATGTCTTTTTGTATATGCGGGAAAACTATATTGCATTGCATGTTTCCTTATTATTCAAATAAACCTTTCTCAAAGCATTTTCATTTGTTAGTTAATATTTCTTGGTGCTGTTTTTCAGAAAGTTTTAAACAAATGCTTTCAAAAAGTGATGGGGACAAAATCAGCCATTTCAAAATGTGGTGGGGACATGTCCCCAGCGGCCCGAGTGTAAATGACACCTATGTTTCAACACGACTTCATTGGGTGTTTTATCTTCTCTTGCATCATACATGGATAAATGGTTGGACACAACACATTTCTGAGAGCTTTTGTAGTGTTATGTTATTAGGTCAACGGTATTTCTGTTGTTTTATCTACCTTGTAGCCAAACAACAGGCTGAAAAATGTAGTGTTGTTGAATCTCAAAATATAAGCTTCACAAAGGTTTTATTGCTGGGCCATGTTCGTTGTGACCTGTGTCACCAGCCTGTATCATGTTGTGATTTTTATACTCCCACAACAAACAAATGGAAAATTTTGAAGACACTTTAGTCAGAGAGTGAGCCAAATAGCAGTAGTACATTTTTGATTTTCCACTTCAAACGCTAACTACCATTACTAAAGAAACCCTTCTTTGTTAAATATCACATCATTTAAGAAGATATTTGTCATGATTCCACTGTTATTTTTCATTTTGTTCACTTAAACATTTGGATGGTTTCCTCAGCTTGAAAGGTAAAAAAGTACCCTAGATCACCTTTTCAATAGTTAATAATAGTGAACAGTTCTGAATCTTTGGGTCAAATCTGAAATGTTGCAGGAGGGGTGAAGGTGTCAGTTATAAACATAAATAAAAAATAAATTACGAAAGTCTATTCCGAAAAAAGTCAATTTATTTTTAGCGTTTATACAAGAACAAATGTCGACAGCGTCAAAGTGCTGTAGTGGTGTACATCCAGGCTAAAAGCACATATAGAGAGATGCACACATGAAACAAAAGTATTTAATTTATTTCAAAAGTATCAAAACCACCTAATTAAGTACCTTAAATACCATGATTATCATATGAAAACCTCTAGATTTTATGAAATGTGCCCAGAACAACATTGTTTATACATAATTACACAATAAACAAAATTAAATAAAATATTGCTCTAATCTTATACAGTTTAGAATGTATTCCACACTTGTCATTACATTATTCCCGCTAATCATGGCATAGCAGTATCATTACTGCCAAGTGTGTGGAGTGGCTGATTTAATAGCCAAGTGAAGACACGCATGAAGTCTTCCCTCTGTGTGATGTGTTGAATCCTGAGCCAGATAGTTCCAACCATCAGCACATAGCAGGGGAGCAGCTGTTCTAAGATCCCTCACTGCATGTGGGAGTGTTTTAAAAGTAGCCTGTGCTGTATTTAAGATATAGATGTGCCCTCAAAATGGTGACTCACTTGCACCAAAGATGAGAGGCTGTAACGGAGGCTAAATGTTGGCTCAAATATTTATTTTTATTACCTTAAAATAATGCACTGTTCATTTTGGTCACTGTTATACACTTTAGCTTCCATTTTTTTAAACTTTTAGTAAACTTAGGTGCAGCAGAAACAACCTGAACAATCTGAAATGTTATCATGTTTTAAAGGGGATCTATGATGCCCATTTCCAGCTCTATAATTTTGTTCCACTAGAGCAGCTTTGCATGATTGGCAGTTCAAAAAGAATCTTTATTCCTTGTACTTTATCCTTTTTGCAGCACCACAGTTCATCATCTGTCTGAAACAAGTTGTTTAAGGCCCTCCTAAAAGCCCACTTTTTTTTGATTAGCCAACTTCCCAGAAGCCTGCCAAAGGGCTTATGAACATAGAGTATATAACTATTAAACTGGCGGCCTGCGAATCAGTTCTATTTACAAATAAATAAAATTTACAATCATGCTAATAACAAACATTTTTGCCCAATTAACCCTTCCAAAAAGCAGAGCACTGCTGTGCTGTCAATAACAGCCAATCACAAATATGCATTATTATTATTATCCTGCTTTTCTCACATGAACACCATAAAAACGAATGCTAGTGCCTCGTCAGGAATGAGACTTGACTTTCAGGTGTTTTACTGTTCAGTGAAACTGAATGTAATGTACTGGCTGTAGGCTATGAATTTCACATATTCTCATCTGGTCACCCTACATTTGTTTCAAATACGTGTTTACTTTTGGTGCTATCTCATGGTTTGTGTTGCAAAAAAACATTTGCTTAAGGATTTAGCCTAATTACTTAAAGAAGTTCTTTTCATTTAGTTTTTAGTTCATGATTTGGATACTTTTGTAATGTAGCGAAATAAAACTTGAAAATGTTATTACAGAACCATGTCTACTGAGCAGTAGTACTGTATCAGCATAGACAGTGGCCAATTCAAAGCAAAATCCAATGAGCTGATCCATACTGGGGCTTTTCGCTGGCAGCAGCTGAGCAGGAACAGAGACAGCTATGGTTTAAAAGGAATGGAATGTAACGCCAACGTTTTGTGAGGTAACGCAAAAATATTGTGAGTTAACGAGGGAACGCAAAAGTTATCCTAGAAATTCTCGCCGTGAACCCTAGGGGTCTCCCTAGACATCAGCTCGGCAGGAAAGACATTGACATTGTATTGACTTGCAGTAACATTGCTTTTACATACATTTACCAATTTATTTGAAAGTTTGGCAACCTTTAGAATGAACATCTGACGAAAACAAGGAAAAGCACAATAGGTCCCCTTTAATTTGAAATGGTTAGCAAACAGTTTCCTGTTTACACATCCAGCAAATACCTAGCCAACGTAAGTCAAATATTCACTTCTAGCGCTGTTCTTTGATCTCTGCCAATTCCTG